TTGTCATCTGCAAAGATAGTTTTACAAACAGTTAACTTCTCATGAATATACCCAGCCCCTAGACTCACATCAGCATTGGCACTAGGAGCGCCCAAACACCATCTCAAAGGGACTTACCTTCAGTTTTGTTCTGGGGGCAACTCTAATTCTGAACAGGGCCATGGGGAAGATTTTTACTCAGTTCAATTTAGTTTCCTGCCATAATTTAGCTATGTGAGTCTTTAAAGTTCAGTTCATCCTTTCCACTTTACCAGTAGATTGGGGTCTCCACGCATTTTGAAACTTCTACTCAATACCCAAATGTTGAAACATCAAGTGTGTTATCATGCTGGTGAAAGGGGTTCCACCACTGCTCCCAATCATCCATGGAACTCTGAACCTAGGAATAATCTCTTCCAGTGACTACTTCCATGGCTTTCTCAGTCCTGCAAGCGAAGGCCTCTATCCAGCTGCAAAAGGTATCCATGAAAACCAGTAAGTATCTGTAGTTACCTTGTGCTCTAGGCATTTCGGTGAAATGTACCTGCCAGTCCTCACCTGGAATCTGCCCTTTGTATTGTCTTTCTGGGTTTGCAGAGACAAATGTCTTGGTATTGTTCTTTCGACAGGTAACATATTGTTGTACTTCCTGATTGGCAATTGTCCCTAACTTTCTGCTATAAAGTATTTCTTTACCAGGCTAACATGGCCTCTCAGCCATAATGACTAAAACTGGAAGAAAAAAAAAAAAAACCTCACTGCCGTTGAATTGGATCTGACTCATAGCGACCCCTCTTTAGGTTTCCAAGGCGGTATCTCTATGGAAGTAGATTGCCCAACCTTCCTTATGAAGTGGCTGGTGGGTTTGAACCGCCAGCCTTCTGGTTAGCATTTAGTGCCTAAATGCCTTAGGCAGCACACCACCAGAGCTCTTAATGACTGGAAGCATGTAATTCTTTAAGAAGTGAGTAAAGTTAGTGGGCCTGGAGGAACACTTGACTATCACGGGTATAATACCGTTTGTTTTTCTTCTGAAATTCCACTGATAAGCTGGATGTTGGTCATGGACTGAATAGCAGGATCCTCCTCATAATTTGGCCATTTAATCTGTGGGATTGAGGTGGCCACAATCACTGGTTCAAAATGGCTGTGCCCTCAGAACTGCTGTAGTCCCCAGCTCTGTTTGTCTCCTTCTTTGCTGTTTTCCTTTCTGGTTGTCAGGCACCCATAGAGTCCTTGCCCATGTGGTTTTTACTGAGCAGAGCTGATTCTTAGGTTGAGTATTTCCAGGAAATACTCAAAGTGGCTGTGCCCTCAGAACAGCCAACAGGCCACAGCTCCGTTTGTCTCCTTACTCATTGTTTTCATTCAGGTTCTTCTACCAGTTGGTATTTAATCCACTTCTTTACCCTTGCCTTCAAAGCTCAGGGTTCCAGGATCATCTGCAGTATCAGTTTTAATTGGTTTCCCATTGCTTTGTTGCAGAGGGTCTGTGTAGCTTGTCTGCCTATTCCACCACCTTGCTGGAACTGTCTCTGCCTTCATTTTCCTGTCATGATAGCTCCTATTTCATTGGCTTGTTTGAGTCAAATTCTGTAATGCATTTAGGTCCAGAACAGTCACATGTCAAATGAGTCTATATTTGGGATGTGCTGAGGACAGGGTCAGCACACATGAAATGAGTATCTGTGGCACGTTGAGGACAGGGATGGCACATGTGAATTGAGTCCATATCTGGAATGTGTTGAGGACAAGGACTTAAGTCTGTATCTGGGACATGGTGAGCTCAGGCTGGGCACATGTGACATGAGTTAATATTTTAGGCCTTTTGAGGATGGGGATGGCACAGGAGAAATGAGTGAACATCTGGGATGTGCTCGCCACAGGGACGGGACTCTGTGCTCAATCTTAGCTCTCTGCAGTTTACCAGCTGGTGAAATGTGGCATAATGTGATTTCTCAGCCTTGATGACTTCTGCCCAACCCACAGCACTACTCTGAGCTCTGAGGGTTGAACGAGACAATGTCATGTCAAGACTCAGCCAGATGGAAAACGTGAGAACTCAGACTCTGTCCTGGCCTGTGATATGGTCTGAGGGTGGCTGTTTCTGTTGAATGACCTGGGGACCCTCCTTTTTCATTCCAACAAACGTATGTGTTTGGTACTTGCATCAAGTCTAGCTCACCTGTGTCCTCCGAGGGTGGAAGTGTGTAGGATGTCACCCTTCATGTGGTGAAGACACTGCCTGATGGGAAGACCTGAACATCCAGATCCTCTTGGATTTGATGGTAGAAACCACTCAGCTCACAGAGTTCCCTGTGCTGCTGACGCCCTGATCCACCCCTCCACCACCTCCTCTGACCGCAAAGGTGCTCAGCTAAGAACTCGTGTCTCCTCAGCATCATTACTTCCACAGCCTGCGTTCCTCAAGAGCCTGTTCACAGGTCATGAGTCCCGTATGTTCTTGAAGTCTATGTTGCATGCACAGCTTGCCTTAAAGGCTGTCTCCAGATCCCAAGTACCCACCAGAGCCCTTGGATGAGAGTTCCACCCAGTGATACCAACCACTCTAGTTAGCCTGATCAAGTCATACACACCGGAAACACACAAGGTGTTTGCCACAGTGAAAGCTGTTTTAATTACTTACAGGCAACACATAGCAGGAAAAGTTCCAGCATGGGCAGTCCTCCTGGCTCTAAGATGTCCAGGCGGGATGGAAGACTTCCTCAGGTGCCCCATTGTTTGCACCGTGGATGAAGGACCCTAAAGGTCTTTCCCATTAGCCTTCAGAGGGGAAGGTGCAATGGTTTTATTCCCAAGCCCAAGCCCAAGATGCTAGCAGGAGTGGGGAAGAGCCCTTTGGGCCATCCATAGGACTGCCTCCTCCCAAGTTCCTGTCCCTCCTGTGGCCGGAAGAGAGAGAGGAGGTGTTTCAGCCCATGATCTCCCAGTGTGTGGCAGCCATCTTGTAGCTCGGACAGGCAGTGACTCTTCTCCTTAGTTGTGTTCAGAGCTGGTTTAGGGTATACAATTTCTCCTTCGAATTCCACCAGTAGCTGAGCGACACACTTTCTCTTCTTGGGCCGCTTCCAGGAGCAGTGTGTCTTCATAGAGTGCCCACTTTTTCCTGTGGCTAACCCAGAAGGGCACTCACAGAATTTCTTGCCACGACATGAGGCACTGGGGCAGACCTCTGCTCTGTAGCCCTCTGAGCACTGGAGGGGCCTCAACCCCGGGCTGCTGACATCCTGGAGGACCCTGATGGAAGTGAGGCATCTCTGCCTCCATGGCTAAGCCCTGCCCCTGACTGAAGACTGTTTCTGCCAGTTCTGGCTACCCCAGTTCTTGCTGTTTCCTTACAGCTGGTGCTTCAGCAGAAGTCTGAAGATGTTGAGCTCGGCTGAGGGTCCCTCAGGTGGGCATGGGCCTAGTGGATCTTCACCGAGGTTTCCCTAGTAGTAGTGGACTAGCAGGAAGTTCAAGATGGTGGGCTGATCAGGGCATTCCTCAGGTGGGCAGGGGCCCAGTAGATGTTCACTGAGGTCTGCCTGATGCTGGTGGATGAGTGAAGGGTTGAACATGAAGGGCTTGGACAGGAGGTCCCCAGATGGGCAGGGGTCCGGGCGATCATGAATGCAGATTCTTCTGTTTTGGCAAAGCAGTGGAGGGTCAAAGACAGTGGCCTTGTAATGGCTGTCCATGGATGGATGGGGGTCCAGGTGATGAAGACTGCAAGTACGTGAGCTCCACATCCCACAAAGAGGGCCGAAGGAGAACAACAGAGATTTGGCCAGCGGCCTGAGATAGGATGGCCTGAGATAGGACGGTGTTCAGGGTGAGACTCCTCCACTGAGGAGAACAGAGCGGGGAGGAGCAGGAAGCAGGAGGGCCAGTGCTGTAGACGCCATCTCTCCTGCTTCAGCCTCTCTGTTGAGACCACAGGCCCTGGCAATGGCCTTTTATACCCACTGGACTCCTGGGTGGGCAGGTCACAATGGGGCCCTCTGCTGTCATCACAATGTCTCCATTCCAAGGCCCGCCCCCCAGCTTCCCCCGCCTGGCTTCCTGAACTGACCCGACCCGATGCCAGTCCTTCCCTCCTTCCAGCCCCTGCCTGTGTCCCAGAGGACCCTGGAGCAGGGGAAACTGTTCTGTCTTAGGCTGTGTCCTCTCCCAAGTGCTCAGGCCTCAACCACGTTGGTTCTCCTCGAGTGTTATTCCTGTTATTCCACACTGGAACGTCCCTCCACTGCAGGGACATTCAGGACCCAAGAGACGGTGCGCCATGGGTGTTTGTGAGGGACAGAATCTTTATTCCTGGGCACAGAGACCCTAACACCGCAAGGCCGGGTGGGCTTTCTGAACCTGCCCCGCGGACTGCACACACCGTTCCTCCCTCTTGGCTGTTGGAGCAGGGCATGGCTGGCAGCCCCTCTGAGGAGTGACCAGTGGGGACCCCCACCCGTGACTCTGCTTCCAGGGGTCCCGTGTGCATTGGCTGCCTGTGGCCAGACGTGAGGTATGTCACAGCCAAGTGTGGTGCACGCCAGGGAACAACAGACCGTGCTCAGCATTGCAGACAGACAGGCTCTGTAGCGGTAATAAATTATAATGAAACATAATTTAGAGCAGAGATTAGTGAGCCTGGGGCAGATGAAGCATCCTCGTGGAATGACCGAGCCTAAGACCAGAGAGAGACTGGGACGTGGGATGGAAACCTACAGAAGAGAAAACGTGGGCTGAGAGGCGGCCCTGTCCGGGAAGGCCCCTCCCGGCCACTAGAGGGCACTGCGGGCACTGCTGTGCGGAGAGGCTGGGTCCCGCCTGGGCCTCTGCTCTCGGTCTACAAGGTCCACAGGGAAGAGGGCTGTGGCTGAACCCTGCCAAGCTAAGGCCACCGAGCCCGCGGTAAGCTCGCGTGGACCGCTCTGGGACCCCAGACCCGAAGCAGCGGAGCCCCGCCCGCGCTCGGCCTGGCCGGCCCGCCGCGCCCGTGGGGGCCGAAGGTCTGCGGGCGCGCCTTAGACACAGTTGTCGGGGGTGCACACGGCCTCCTCCTCCAGCTCGGGGCAGGGGCTCCCGTGGTTGGCGGGCTGCACGCGCACGTAGCGAGTTCGGCTCTTGGCGCCCAGCTGCCCACAGCGCCCGCCGCACAGCCCCCACGACGACCACAGGGACACCTCGCAGTCCAGCGGCGTCTCCGGAGCTGGATCAAGCACAAAGATGGGAGCCGTGAGCACCGGTGCAACAGGGAGACGCCGCCCGGGCAGGAGGATGCCCCACACGGCCCGGCCACACGTCCGAGCCCCAAACCAACCTCACCACCAACTGCTCTGACTAGAGCTGACGCTGCTACCCTGAGACCGTACATTTTCTCAAACCTCAGCTGCGTCCTGGGCTTGGGGGCCGAGCTGTGGGCTGCGGCAGTACCAGGCCCGGGAGGGAGGGCGCCGCGCGCTGTGCTCGCGCCTCCCAGTGGGCGAACGGAGAATGCTCTTTTGTAAGGACCGCCTGTGCGGAGCAGCTTTCTCCGACCACAGCTCAGACCAAATGTAAACACTGGTTCCAGGACGGCTCGGTTTCGGAAGGACTCCCTCCACACCGGGACTGGAGTGCTGTCTGCGCACCTTCGTCCCGTCCGCAGGCTCACTTTGCGGACAGATGTTCCTTTGTTTTTCTATTTCCATCATTTTCATAAATAAAAATAACCTACCTATTCGTGTTATGGCTATAGCCCCTGTAATTTTTCTTCTCCAAAGAAAAGTGGAAATGTCTCCTGGGCACACCCCCGCGCCCAGCGGGACAATGAACAGTGTTTCATCTCCACGGCACGGTGCCCCGGGGGGGTGGGGGCACCCATCACCAAAAACAGAACCCAAACTGGCTGCAGGTGAGTCGATTCTGACTCGGGGACACCCCTTGTGTATCTGAGTAGAACTGCTCCCGGGTTTTCAATGCTAATTTTTCAGAAATAGGTGGGTCACCAGGTTTTTTTTCTGAGGGCCTCTGGGGGCATTTGAACCACCAGCCTTCGAATTAGTAGCTGAACGCTTACCCATATTTACCACCCAGGGACCGGAATTCCATTTCTGCCTTTCCAGTCACTTCCAAGCATATGGAACTTCCACCATCCCCACTGACAAGGACCCTGCCCTTCCCCCACCTCAGCCCCCTTGCTGTCCTGGCTGGAGGCTGGGTCCCTGCTAAAGCCCTGCCAGCATCCCGTTCCCAGCTCTGTGGCAGCCGAGAAGGAGACTGTCAGAAAGTCCCGAGGGTCTGAGGAACGCGGGACAGAGGAGAGGATGTATGAGCAGGTCGGTGGGAGCCGCGGGGCAAGCAGCCAGAGCGCTCCTCAGCCTCGGTCCGAGCACCCTGAGCAGGCCCACACCTGGAGCGTCTGCAAAGGCCTTGGGAGCCAAGGCTCCCGGGACCCTGCAGGAAGCAGCTGTAGGTAGGATTGCGGCCGAGAGCGAGGGCACTGAGAAGCCTGTCTGGGGGTGAACCCCAATCTGCCCGGTTCCCTAACCTCTGGCATCAAAGCGGGGTAATCATAGCACCCCCGTTGCTGGCTGTCAGCCTGTTTATATGAGGGCTTAGAAATCAAGTGCCTGGTACACAAAACCTAAGCGAACCCACTGCCGCTGAGTGGACTCTGATGCATGGCGACCCCATGTGGGTGAGAGCAGAACTGCTCCACAGCTGTCTCCTTTACGGAAGCAGACAGACAGTCCTTGGCACCTCCAGGTAGGTTCGAACTGACCACCTTTGGGTTAGCAGCCAAGCACAGAGTGTTTGCACCACCCAGGCACCTGGCACACAGCAAGGGCTTCACTAAGCTGAATGCCGGGGAGGAAGAGGCGAACGAGGCGCCAGCGTGCGCAGGGAGGCAGTGGACCGGGCCGCCATTGCCAGCTGGCTTCCGTGTCATTACAGCAGAAGGGGCTTGGCCTTCCGGCCCCGTGTGCCAGCTGCACGGGCGAGTGTCCACATGCCAGGCCCTCCGCCACTGGGGACGCAGTGTGCGGGAGAGCCTACATTAGCGACAGTCCCCGTCTCCCCCACCGTGACAGTGACAGGCACCGGGAAGGAGAAGGGGAGACTGTCGAGCATGTCACCAGGGACCTCCCCAGAGCCCTGCAGACGTGGTGAACGGTGGGACCCCCGCAGTCAGAGAAGCGGGTCAGCACTGAGGAGGGAGGTGTGAGGGTGGAGGCCCAGGACAGGATGGAGGCGGATCCCTCTCCGAAGGGGCCCCAGGGCCAGCGGGCCACCTGCAAGCTGCGTTCTAGACGTGCGTGGTTTGAAGCAGGGGGTGTGCACTCTCCCCAAGGCCCCTGGCTGCTGGGTGGAGGATGGACATAGCCCTGTCCTTTCTGGGGGGACAGTTTGGGTAGACTGTACACACTGAGTACACAGCCACTTCCTTGAGTGGCCCAGTTCATCCGGGCTCCCACCCAACCTCCATCCACCTCCCGCCCGAGAGAGCCCTGGGCACCACGGCCCTGCCTGGCTGCCTACTCAGTGCCCCGGGCTGGAACTTCCTCCTGGCACCCCCTCTGCTTCCAGAACCTGCTCACTCTTCCAGCCAAGGAGTCAGTCCCCTTCCTCTGGGCTGTCCTCACCTGCAGGGGGCAGACGCCATACCTGTTATCAACCACACAAGGAGTTTGCCTCCCTGCCAGGCTGCACAGCCCTGAGCCTGGGACCACCGCTCCCACGTCTGGTTTCCTGGCTCCCAGCATGACGCCTGGCACGCGGCTGGTCCTGAGGCACCACTGTCATCTGAACAAACGGCTCTCACACACATCCATCAGGAATGTGTGTTCACGTGGGGTAACCGGAGCACAGGCAGGGAGCTGGTGGAGTGGCCCCCGAGACCCAAACCACGGAGCTGCTGGCTATGGCCGGTGTCTGAGCACGGCACTCAGAAAGCAGGGCAGGTGGCAGTGGGCCAGCGGTGGCCCCACGGGAGGCTAGCTCCTTGCACATTTCCTGGGCCAGGCAGCCCTCGGCTTCTGAGGCGGCCTCACTGTCCTCCTGGGACTGAGCTGAGCTGACCCCACAGGCCCAGACAGAGGCTGTCTGAGATGGTGCCCAGGCCCTCCTAAACTGTGGCCCCAGCAGGGAGCGGGGTCTGCCATGAGTAGCAAGAACAGGGACCAGGCCCACCACTGACAAGGCTCTTCAGATGTGGGCTGAACCCAGCTCTTCCACAAGAAAGCCCATTGCTTCAATGTCCAGTGATCTATGCCACCAATTGGGTGATGTCTCCTTTTACTGGGGGCCTGGACATGCAGCACTTGCATTGGTGGGGTGCAGCGTGAGGTCACCCTGTGTGGCACGCTTGCTCCTGCATGCACACGTGGTCGCTGCACTCTGCCCTCAGGGGCAAGCACCGGGGGGCACACGTCCCAGGATGCAGAAGGTGCTCCAGGGCACGCTTGGCAGGAGCGTGGCTGGCCAACAGGCCGCTGCTGGAGAGCTGGGCAGCGCAGAAGCCAGAGCGCCCAGCCCTGCGCGCTGCCCGGCCACCAGGTGCTCAGCCTCCGGCCAACACTTGGGCAGGGGTTCCAGGCTCAAGGCGGCCCACAGGGAGGAGAAGCCAGTCCTGGAAGGGACACCGCCCTGCCCCACCACAGGGTTACTATCAGCAGAGCCCAAAGCTAGCAGGAAAAGGTCCCCGTGTTGGAGCAAAGCCCTGCAACTCTCCCCGGCGGCTGGCCTTGGAGACCGAACACACATCCAGAAACAAGGCCAGGTTCTGTCTCGCTGACGCCGCCGCCCACCTTCCAGGGCAGCACTGATGGGCTTCACGAGGTGCTGTTCTCATCCTCCCCGTCAGCAGGGCCAGCGAGACCCCATGTGGGCACATCTCTGCTGGGGACAACAGCGCCCAGCCTCTGGAAACACTCAGTGTCTGCGTCCAGTCATCACCCACAGGGCGGCCATTTGCAAATTTTGTGGCAGAGTTAAATTAGTCCCTTCAGGGTTTGAATCAAGCCAACAGCCGTGCTCTTAGAATTGTGTTAACCAATGCCATGAATCCCTCCTTCCGACATTGCTTAGAGACTCGGGTTCCTGTGAGCATGGCACAGGCGGTCCCAGTGGGGCCTGAGCACCAGGATGTCAGTGCTCTTGTGGTCAACCCACCTGCCGTTAATACCAGCCTCACACCAATCTGCACGGCCCCCCTTCGGCTGGTTCATGCCAAGAAGGCGCCTGCGTTCCAACTGGGGACCTGCTTTGGAATCCAAGGTCTCTGTGGTCCAGTCTACAGCCCAGGCACTTACACAGTGGGGCTGAGGGAGTAGGCTGGGGGTTGTTAAGCGCTATTCAGGCACCTCAACTGATGGCGACCCATGTGCCAGAGAATGGCCACCTCCTGGGCTCTTTAGGCTGTAACCTTCTGGAAGCAGGTCTCTAGATCTTTCTCACAGGGAGCACTGGGTGGGTTTGAACAGCCAACCTTTCATTTTGCAGTCGAGTGCGTAACCATTGCATGACCAGGGTCACATCCATGGACTTGACAAGTCACCTGATTGAGCAGCTCCCTGCCCCACCTAATAGGACTGGCACACGATGCCATCCTCTCGGCTCCAACTTGCCTCACCCTGCAGACGTGACACACTGGCCTTGGCGTTGACCTCTCTGAATGTCAGTTTTGCTTCAGTGAGGATAATACTTCTAAGGTTACGTCAGGGACCAAGGGGATTTCAGGCTGAGGTATGGGGGGCACAGTTACTGTGGTTCTGCTGTGTACTGTCACAGAGCCCTGCACACAGTGCCGTGGCCACCTGAGGGGGTCCAGAACCTCCCTCGCCTGAGCCATGGGCACAGCCACACTGGGAAAAACGCGCCGTCAGTGGAGGGAGAACGAGGTGGGCCGAGGCCGGCCCTGTTCCCCTCTGCTGACGTATCAGCACTGTCCCAGATGACACCCACTCGCCACAAGGCCCTTACCTGTGAGGGCGTCCAGGATCTCATTCCCTCTGCCTGCCAGGTCGGGGGTGGGTGGGACGAAGGCCCTGGGGCTGTGGCTGAGCCGCACCAAACTCACTCTGGCGATGGGAGGCAGGGACTTCAGCCGAGGGTAGTAGAAGGAGTTTGCTGGGTGACTTGGGGAGGAAGACGTTATCTGGGATGGGAAGAAGAGGAGGAGTTGGCACAGGAACCCCAGAGCCCACCCTTCAAGCGCCTGCAGGGCTCCCAGGCCTCCTCTTCTGGAAGCACATGCCAAGCAGGGGCGCGCAGAGTCCGTGTTCCCTGGGGCACACTCCTCGGGGCCCACCCCGTCCTTGAGCGCCACGCGGAAACGCGGTCGCGCCACGGACAGCGCAGCAGCGAGGGGGCTCTCCCGCTGCTCTCGTCTTGTCTCAGCAGCCCTACAGGTCGGGGGCGCCTGGGAACCGAGGCGAGCGCCTCAAGACCCCGCGGGGGAGCTTAGCGAGAAGCCATATCGCAGCCCTGTTCCCCCAGAACTACCAGCTCTCAACCCCAGGATCGCGCCCCCCACTGGTTCATCAGAGACGCTAGAAACACAGCTGCCTCCTAGACCCAGAGGGCGCCAACCAGAAGTGCAGAGTCCTCAGGCTGTGGGGCAGTGTGGACACCCAGGCCCGGCTCCCCGCACCCCACCAAGGGTGCAGAGCTGGTGCCGGCAGAGGGGCCTCTCCTCGCGCATTCGCAGTAGGTTTCCAGGCGACGGGTGAACGGCTGTCCCTCTCACCTCCGTCACCGTGTCCTGTGGGATGGTGGCAAAGTTGGGGGAAGAGAAGGTGAAGCCGCTGTCTGTGCCGGCGTCGTAGGGAAACAGGTCCACCGAGACGTGGTCCTTCCAGCGGCCGCCCTCGCAGAGGTCCAGGCTGTCGATGCCCACAAACCAGTCGGGGCTGGGCACGATGCGCACCACGAAGGAGACCTGCGGCGCCAGGGCGACGGCACGCTCGCACGGCTGACCCCCCCGGCGTGGAGGCCGCCTTGGCTCTGCTCCCCCGCGCGCCCCT